TAGACCGTCTGGTACTCGTCTCTCCCTCATAGGGCTGGCCTGCCCGACATGACCTCTACAGCGCAGCAAGCGGACCAAAGGACAAGCGGCAAAGCATGCGTCTTCTAGTCCCAATGGGTTGGCATGGTGACTGTGACCTGAGTGCTTCGTCTAGGGCCCTTCAGAGGCGACGCCCGTCTCCCACCAGCTTGCTCCCCAGGAAGAATGTCAACTCTCAAGGTTGAGCGCTCACGACACCTCACAATGAGAGGACTCTCAAGACAGAACTCACTTCCTCACGGTAAGAAGCAACAAAGAGGGTAGGTAAGGTAAGGAGAGACGTACCTCATAATGCTGCCCCCAACTACAGATTTCTCACCGGTGGCCTAACGTGCATTTATGATGACCGGTCGATATCTTGGCACAACCCACAATACAATGCAGTTCCACCTCGGCTTAAATGCCATGTCAGCAAGCTCTCAACATCCAGCGAGCACCCCATATGTCACCACGTAGCCTTCCTGGCGTGCCCACATGACCCTGGGCCGCCAATCACCGACGCTCAAGCGTTATCACTGCCCCACCATATCCAGTGAAGCACCAAACAGCTATTGTGAAGGAGCCAGTGGAGCGGCTCGAACCAGCTCCGATACCAAATTGCAAGGAAATGAGAGAGAGCAAAATGACAGAAATCCAGAATGCAAATTCACATTGAAAGCCATAAATTCCAACGCTGTCCAGAAATCAGAAATGCACTGATATTCACCAACGGAGAACCAAAGCACCGAATCCGAATGTCAATGAGAGCATACTCTCGCCATCACCAACACATGCATCCAGAGCCCTTTCTCCCACTTGGCGCTCAGCGCCCAGACTATGTTCACGCAGCTACTACCAGCCTACGAATTGACAACGCAACCTGTTGAGATCAGCAGCAGACCCGAACTACATGAAGATGTCGACCCTTGTAGACCATTGCCAAGACCAGGTATGTTCCCTCACATCATATCCTCATCTCTCTCTCTCTCTCTCTCTCTCTCTCTCTCTCTCTCTCTCTCTCTCTCTCTCTCTCTNGCACTGATATTCACCAACGGAGAACCAAAGCACCGAATCCGAATGTCAATGAGAGCATACTCTCGCCATCACCAACACATGCATCCAGAGCCCTTTCTCCCACTTGGCGCTCAGCGCCCAGACTATGTTCACGCAGCTACTACCAGCCTACGAATTGACAACGCAACCTGTTGAGATCAGCAGCAGACCCGAACTGCATCCGGTTGACGTCAGCAGCCGAACTGAACTACATGAATATGTCAACCCTTGTAGACCATCCCCATCTCTCTCTCTCTCTCTCTCTCTCTCTCTCTCTCTCTCTCTCTCTCTCACCCTCGACTTCTACATCCACGTCTTCTCCCTCATGCATGAAGACCACCACCACCTCCACTGGCTATGTCCAAGTCAAGCCCGGCTACGAGTGGTTAACGGTGACCCCCACTTTTCGGCCCTGGGTAACGATGAATGATCCTGCTGGATATGGCGCTGCCCTCAGCAGCGCCCTGCCTTCTTGCATGACCGCACGCGCGCACACACTTGCCTCTGCGCCAACACGGCAGCCCGAGAGCGCTAGCTCCAGCAGCGTTGCCGCATCTGCACGCAAGTGCCCGAACACTGAACTGGAAGCCCGGCCCTTTCCTATATGGAAAGTGGCGGGCAAATTCCACTTGCTTCCCACGTGAGACCGAGTTTCCAGTAGCTTCAGTCTCGGCCAAAATGTCTGCGCCCAGGCACATTCAGACAGTGGCCCGGGACCGAATTGGTTAGGCATGCCTAACCGCCCAGGCACAAATGTGTGGTGCTCCTGCTTCGACCATGTTGCTGGAAGAGCCTGGAAGGCTCACAAATATTTTGGATTCTCACGAGCAATGCGGATGTAACCAACTGGCGCGTGGCAACTGTCTGGCGCCCACCCAGATTTGCAAAAATTGACGAACTCAGGGCACATTGAGATTCAGGGGGGGGCGCCTTCACTTAGGGCACACGCCTGCTGCAGGGCCTTATGCCGAGGGGTAAACCCTCGCAAAAATAAAATCAGAAAATAAATAAACAGTATTAAACAGTCAAAACATCCAACCCACGCCCAAGCCAACCTACCTGGGCCTCTAGAAGGCCAATAAGGTGGCCGTGGCCCTGGGAGCTGCCCAAAATCCTTTCCGTGCGGCCCAAGGCCTGAAACTGGTCCAATGCCCGATCTGAAGAGCCGGCGTGGATCGGTACATGCCACACTCCCACACCTGGCTAGGAGCCCGGACATGTCCTAGGAGCAACCCTCGGCCGCCCAAACCTTTGCCAAGGTCCTCTGGTCAATTTGAGGGCCTTGGAGAGTGGATTCCCAGATTGGCTTGTATGTAGTTTCTCTGTTCCGAGTCCAGGTCTGAGTGTGTTTTGTCTGTTCTCAGCCCCAGTCTATTCAGTTCACTTTTGCTTGCGATTCCTGGAAGGCGTGTGTGTCGTTTCTGTATACTCTGTACTGAGTCCAGGCGTGCGTGCATTCAGTCTTCTCTTCCTTCAGTCTCACTCAGTTCATTTTGCTTTGGTTTCGGTTTCTGCTTACTGTTTTGGTGTCAGTACGGTTTTCTTTCTTGCCTGTTCACTTTGTCCTGGTCTGGTGTTCCCAGGACTTTATCCTATCCAGGCCTCTGCCGAGTACCGTTTCACATTTGGCCCAGCTCGTTTTGAGGCTGGGCCTGTATCCACCTTTGTGTGCCAGCCCGTTATTCTTCCAGGCCCTGCTTCTGAGATAGCATGGTAGGGCTTGGACCTCAGTTGGGATGCAGGCCACACGTTTTCAGGTATGGGCCTGAGTTTGGTCACACGGCCTCTCATCTTGACTGCTGGTTCCTGGTGAGATGGACGGCCAAGAGGAGAGGCCGGCCTTGTTGGTGGCCGTTGCAGTAGGACTTTGGAGAGGCCGGCCAAGTGGTTGGTAGGTAGTTCTCACTTCATTCAGATGCCACCAGGCTGCACGAGTGGAGCAGCCCAGTGCTGGTGGAGTTAAAGGAACAGTGTTCGAGGAGCTAGGCTAGCGCTGCAGGGACAGAGAGGGGAGATGAGGTGATGGTCGAGGAGTCCACTCACCTGGCACGATATCCTGGAGGTCTGCAGCTGGCCATAGCTGGCCTTCTTCTTCGAGACACCTGCAGTGCATCAGCTGCTCAAGACTCTGCCTTTCACCAGTCAGTATCATCTTCATGAGAGAGAGAGAGAGAGAGAGAGAGAGAGAGAGAGAGAGAGAGAGAGAGAGAGAGAGAGAGAGAGAG